GAGCTGGGAGATGGAGGTGAGGATGCACAGGATGCACAGCCGGGCCGGGGACAGGGCGGGGGCAGCACCCAATCCCAAGGGAATTTTGGATCCCGGTTGCCGGCGCCCACAACACGAGCTGGGAACACGTGTGGGCTGCGGAACCTGCTGCGCTGGGGTTTTTCCCGGCGTGACTGGGTCTGGCAGCGATTCCCAGGATGGGCACGGATCGAAATGTCCCTGTGGGGCAGCGTGGCACCCTCGGGTGGGATTCCCGGGGGTTGGAAGTGCTGGAAGGGCTGGGTCAGTGACTCCTCGGGGAGGTGTTGGCATCCCAGCCCTGACCTCCGCGCAGCTCCAGCCCTACTTTCCAGCCCTACTTTCTGGCCCAGTTTCCAGCCCCCGCCACAGCGTGCCAGTCACAGGATCCCAAAATCCCGGAATGGTTTGGGTTGGAAGGGACTTTAAAACCCATCCAGTCCCAACCCCTTGCCATGGGCGGGGACAACTTCCACCAACCCAGGTTGCTCCAAGCCCCGTCCAACCTGGCCTTGGGTATTTCCAGTCCCTCGCAGCTGGTGTGGATGGGGCTCCACAGTGTCCCCAAGCATTTCCCGTGTCCCCAGAGCCGCCCGGCCGTGCGGGGGAGCCGTGGTGCCTGCAGAGCCTGCCCTGCACGGCGCTGCCCCCGAGCATCCCCCGCTGCTGTGCCTGCGCCCCCCGCGCCGGGGGAGACCCCGAGGGCGAGGAAGATGAGGAGGAGCCCCCCGAGAGCACCTGCAGGCTGATGCATTTCCGCAGGTGAGCCCGGGCTGAGCTCACAGGGTGAGGGGGTCCAGCAGGACGTGTAGGGGGAGCATCCCCTTCTTTGGAATATCCCTTTTGATCACCCCACTTTGCAATGTCCCCTTCTATCGCCCCACTCCAGGGTGTCCCCTTCCTGTCACCCCACTCCTGAGCGTCTCCTCTTTAGAGCATCCCCTCCCTTCACCCCACTTTGAAGCATCCCTTCCTGTCACCCCAATTCAGAACACCCTCTCCCATCATCCTGTTTTAGAGCATCCCTTCCTGTCACCCCTCTTTGGGACACCGTCACCCTATTTTGGAGCATTCCCTCCCCTCACCCCACATTTTTGTTCCTTTCCTTGTCCTGCCGCTTTCGAGCATCCTCTCCCCCCTCTCCAATCTTTCACCTCTTGTCTCGTCACCCAAATTTGAGCACCCTCCCGTCCCCCCAACTCTGTCCCCTCTCCCCACAGGTTGGCCCTGGGGAACAACGGGGACCTGAGCGTCGATGGCCTCTGCACCCTGGGGGAGGCCGAGGGGGAGCTGCTGGAAATGGCCGGCCCCGAATCGGGGGGCAGGAATGTGGGGGGCAGGAATGTGGGGAGCAGCCTCTGCCTGGCCAAATACCTGCTGAGGGTCCTGGGGGACCCCTTCTGTGCCGCCGTCCGCAGGGACAGGGACACGTGGCCAGGAGCCCCCGGCGGGCCCGAGGGTAAGCAGGGCCCAGGGTGGGGGTGACATTGGGGACACTGGGGACACTGGGGACGCTGAGGCTGTGTTTCCCGCAGGGGTGACAGGCTGGAGGCGGGGGGAAGGAGCCCCCCAGCTCTGTGACGCCTGCCAGCGTGGCTTCTTCAACTCCCACTGGAGCTGCGCCAGATGTGGCTTCCAGCTGTGCCCCGACTGCCACCGCAGCAAGCGGGAGGACAGCGGCCCTGGTATGGGGACAGGGAGGGGTGGAAAAAAGAGGGTGTCAGCCCTGGGGGGTTCAGTGGGGACAAACGCACCCTCTCTCTGGCACAGAGGGTCCAGCGCTGCCACCCCAGTGCACCCCCGGACGGGGCCACCCCGTGTCATCCCTGGTCCCCACACAGTTCGTCCCCAGCTGTGGTGAGTGTGTCCCCCCTAGCCCCAGAACCCCTCTTTGGCCACTGCTGGGGGGTTGACACCCCTGTCCCCATCTGTCCCCAGTCCTGACCCGGCTCTGGAAGCTCCTGCACGAGGTCAGAGTCAAGTTTGGCATCGAGTCCCGCTGTCCCTGCAGGGAGGGGACAGCGGAGCAGAGCCTGGCAGAGTCCCCGGGCAGGCAGGTACGGCGCGGGGGGCTGTGAATGCTGGGGTAAAAAGGGGTGCAGGTGCACCCCAACCCTGCACAGGGCGTGTCGGGGGCGTGGGATGTGGCTCCCACCTGGATCCCCACCTGGTCCGGGGTGTTGCAGGAGCCGCCGGGGGCCGCGGTGCCCACCCTGCCACCCCGCAGCCACGGCCCAGCCGAGCCCACCCGGCCCATCAAGGAAGGTAGGGCCGGCTGCGACCCCCCCGCGGCGGGGGGGTCAGGGATGCTGCACCCCGTCCCCTTTTTGGGGTGCTGGGTAAGGGGTGGGGGGGTGGTGGTAACACGCAGAGGGCGGCGTGGGCAACCCTGAGCGTGTTGTCCCCTGGAGCAGAGAGAGCCGAGGAGGGGCCGCAGCCCCCGGCGCGGGGGGGACCCGTGCAGACCACGACCCTGTGCGACCTCCTGGCCTCCACGGCCGTGAAGCTGTGCCTGGGGCAGGACGGGGTGCGCATGGCCTTCGCCCCCGTGGCACCTGCCCTGCCCAGCGTGAGTCCCGTGGCCATCGGGCCACCCCGTCCCCTGCTGCCCACCCCGCTTCTTGGGGTGTCTGCGTGGGCTGGCTGAGGGGCTCCCTAATTGTATCCCCGCTCCCCTCTCCTCCAGGATAATCGCCTGACCAGCATCCTGGACAGCATCATCGCCCACGTGGTGGAGAGGAAGATCCAGGAGAGGCAGGCGGGGGGCGAGCTGGGCCCCCCCAGCTCACAGGACCCCCCCGCATCCCACTGCGTGCTGGCCCCCAGCGGGCTGCTCTGGCTGCACGACCCCGGCCACGCCAGCAACTACAAATTGTTCCAGGAGCACTGGAAGCAGGGCCAGGTGAGCCCCCCATCCCTGGGGACACCCGGGAGTCCCTCCAGCTTCCCCTGAGCCCACTGAGCCCGGCTGCCCCGGCAGCCTGTGCTGGTTTCAGGGCTGCAGAAGAGGCTGGAGGGGCGGCTGTGGGCGCCCGAATCTTTCCAGCCCTCGGGGGAGGAGGAGAAGGAGGAGGAGGTGGAGGCCGTGAACCTGCGGGCACCGCAGAGCAGAGTCCGGATGAGCAGCCGCGAGTTTTGGGATGGCTTTGCTGCCAGCACAGGTGAGGGGACGAGGAGTCTGTGGGGTCCCCAGTGTGATCTTGGTGTGAGGTGTGATGGTTGTGCACCCCTGATGTGACACTGAGCTCCCTCCCACAGCATCCCCGGGGCAGCAACAGAGCAGCGGGGACCTGCTGAAGCTGGAGAGTGGCTTTGGGGACACGGAGCTGAGCCGGTAGGTGACAGCACAGGGGGTGGCATCACCTCGATGTCCCCAGGGGTGGGCCAGCGGGGCTCAGTGGAGTTGTGGGGGGTCCTGAGTGTCACCGCACCCCTCTGTGCCACAGAGCCACCAACCTGCGGGCCAGCCTGCCCCTGCCCGAGTACTGCGGGGCCAGCGGCCGCCTCAACTTGGCCACCTACCTGCGGGGCCAGCGAGACCGGCGCTGGCTGCGCCCGCGCGTCCGAGTGGCCTACGGTGAGTGCGGTACCGGGAATTTGGGGGTACTTGGGCTTTAGGGGATACCCGGGTTTTGGGGGACACCCGGGCTTTTTAGGGCTCTCCCCGCCCACTCTGATACCTGAAGCTCACCCTCCCCCCGCCCACCCCAATCCCTTTTCCAGGTGTGCATCCTCAGGAGCGGAAATTTGGGACCAAAAACCTGTCGGTGGAAGCGGCCGATTCCATCAGCGTCCTGGCCCACGCAACTCCAGCCCCACGGGGTACGGGGGGCACAAGGGGGGGTCCCCCCCATCCCAGATCCCGTGCCCAGGATCCCCCTGACCCCTCTCTGCCCACAGACGTGCTCCTGCCAGGGGACATGGATGAGCTGGACGCGGCGCTGCGGGAGCGGCTCCGGGACAGCGGGCGGCCCGGGGCACTGTGGCACATCTTCCGTGCCGAGGATGCGGGGCGGATCCGGGATTTCCTGCGCAAGGTGGGTGCCACCACCCCCGGCCCCGCTCCAACCCGCGGCTCCGCTCACCCCTGGCACCCCACAGGAATCCGAGGAGCCGGGACAGGACGGGGCGGTCACGGCGGAGCCCCCCGGCCGCTACCTGGACCCTGCCCTGCGGCGGCGGCTGCGGGACGAGTGCGGGGTGAGCGGCTGGAGCCTCCTCCAGCTCCCGGGGGACGCCGTGCTGGTCCCCGCAGGGGCTCCCCACCAGGTAGGCGACCCTGAACACCCCTCCCCTCCCCGAGAGGCTGTGCCAACCTCCTGGGGAAACTGAGGCACGGCAAACCCCGGTAGGTGCAGAGCCTCAGCGGCACCATCAGCGTGGAGCAGCAATTCCTGTCCCCCGAGAGCGCCGTCCGCCTCCGCACCGACCCCGCCGGGACCCCGCGCCAGCTCCGCGCCCAGGTGGGTGTTCTGGGGAGAAATTTCCCCAAAATTCCCCAAAATTGCCCAAATGGGAGGTGCTGAGCTCCGTCTTTGCACCCTCGCAGCTGGATGGGATGATCCTCGCCGCTGTGCGGGAGGCTCTGGGGGTCCTGCGGGGCTGCAAGTGAGGCCACGGCGCAATGGGAGGACAGCGGGAGCTTCGGTCACGGTGACGGCCGGGACACCGTGGGGAGCCGGGACCGGGCACCTTTCACTCGGTGCTTTGCTCCAAGAGCTCCCAGGGTGCTCGGGGCAGGAGGAATAAAGTGTCCAGCACCACCAGCACCCACCTCGGTGTCTCCTTTTATTCCCCTCTCCATCCCATTGAGGTCAGGGATGGCCTCCCTCCATTTCCCCTCCATCCCATTGGGGTCAGGAGTGGTCTCCAGCACGGGACAGTTAATTAACACCGGGCAATGGGGAATTAATTAATTAATGGGCAATAAGAGCTGGGCAAAGGGCGCTGTGCAGTGGGCACCGTGCCATGAACAAAAGGCGATGGTCACCATGCGACGAACCCTCCCCCCTCCCCCGTGCCGCGACCCCCGTGTGAATCAGCACCGACCAATTAACCGAGTGTAATTAACTCTGCGCCACGCACTCTGCGCCACGCGGCCCCTTTAAGGCCAAGTCCCGCCCTATATGAGTGACAGCGAGATTAACCAATGAGCAGCGAGCTGCGCTGACAGGATACCCAATAGGCGGCGAGCAGGGGGGCGGGGCCGGCGCGGCGGAGCCCCCGGCGCGGTGAGTGCGAGGCGCATGCGCGGGGCGGGCAGGGGGCGGTGGGGTCCCGGAGCTCGCCCGGGGACCCCCGGAACCCCCCGAGCTTCACCGCAGCCCCCGACCCTTCCTGCATCCCCCTGACGCTTCTTGCAGCCCCCTCCCATCCTTCCCGCATCCTCCTGATGCTGCTTGCAGCCCCCCCCACGCCTTCCTGCAGCCCCCCCGACCCTTTCTGCGTTCCACCCATCTTCAGTGCAGCCCCCCGACCCTTATTGCACCCCCCGACCCTTATTGCAGCACCCCCCAAATCCGTGCCCCCGTTGCAGTCCCCCAAATCTTTATTGCAGCCTCCCTAGAGCACCCTGTAGCCCTCCCAAACCTTTATTGCAGCTCCCCAAACTCTCCCTTAATTGCACCCTGTGCCCCCCCAAACCCTCTCTGTAGCCCCCCCAAACCCTTCTGTTACTGCAGCCCCCAAACCCTCATTGCAGCCCCCGAACTCTCCCCTGTAGCCCCCCCAAACCTTCC